TGCCTCTATCCACCCAAGCTGCCTGCGTGCCACGCACGCTCGCGAAGCCTCCATCTCCCCATAAAGATCCCGTAGATAAGAGCAGCAGAACCACCTGCCAATCACAGCGCTTCGGCAGCCCTTATCACAATCTTTATGAGAGCTGATGGTTCTGGGAATTGGAAGCTCATACATAGTCACTGCGCCCACAAAACACTGACATCACATGGCAAGCAATAACCCCATGGCTCAGCTCTGGGTAGCAGAGCACGCCTCTCCCTGCTCTCAGTGCAGGGTACGTCACTTGTTTTCTATTCAAATTTGCCCTCCTCCCACGGAAGCCCTGCCTCGCAGTGCTGGCCATCAGACAATGCTGGTGAGAAAACACCCACTCTGACAAGAGGAAGAATAATTTCCTATAAGTGTATTTTATTATATACCTTATACCTTTCATCTCGAAATATGGGAGCCTAACAAATACAGTGATTTTATTGAATAAATACTCTTATGCCTGGTGCATGATTCATAGCAGATTAATAGAGGCAATTAAGCGTAAGATTAAATTGCTTAAAACCACTTGCCCTACTAAGCACAGCCCGGTGCTGAGGAGTGTATCAGCACCACTAATTCCCAGCGATTTTCCTTTGGAAGCAGGTATTTAATGATTTGGAATATCAAACCCATGGTATCCCAGCCTGGCTGCCTAATGCCTGTAATCATGTTAAGGCGCAGCACTGAGCAACTCGCCCCAGGCGCTCTGGTGAGTCACTGGGAGAGGAGAAAGCAGAGCTGCAGCCTGGTGTCTCACAGAGCAGAGCTGGGGTCGGTCTGCAGCAGAGTACTCCATCCCTTGGCTTTCCCTTGGCCATGTGTTGTCTCGTTCCTCAGCCGTACATCTATACCCAGGATTTGTCCTCCATGAAAGTACACCATCCTTTAGCACGCAGAACCAGAGGCACTTTGAGCACAACAAACTCCAGCAAAAACATTCTATTTTGGGATCTAAATGCATTAAAAACACTGTTTTCATTGTAGTGTGACTCATCGGTAATTCTATGCTGTTCATGCACAGCTTGCTGTGACCTTCCATCGCTGATCCTTCTCTTTGTCTCCTCTTTCTCTTTTTCTGTTCTTTCTCTGTCCTATCTTTCCCGTTTTTTGTTGTTCTTTTTTTTTTTTATTCCTTCTGTTTCTTATGAATTTGAGCCTCTGTGAAATCTGTCCAAATATTTACAAAAGGAAATGCTGGGTTGTGAAACTGAATTCGGAGAAAATGTTACACATGCAGAAGAAATGCATCCCGCACGCTTTCCAAGTGTTCCCACATGCATTTTTGTGCTCTGTCTCAAGGGCTGAGGCCGATGCTCTGCATCTCCATTGAGGCAGAGCTCACACTGCGGGCTCTGAGGCGCAGGCTCGGGTTGGATCCAACAGTGCCGTAATGCTGTGCTTGCTGGAACAGTCCAGGGCTGATTTTGGCCATGGGTAACTGGTTGAAGGCCTGATCAGCCAGTTTTGCTGGGCTTGTGCAATGGGCCAGTTCCTTGCGAGGGCTTATCTGTGCTTGTCACCAACAAGCTGACAAATTGGCACCCCTGTGTCGGCGCAGAAGCTGTGGGCAGACCTCTCTTCCCCTCAAAGACACTGGGAGATCCATGGTCCATGAGCAAAGCCAGGGAGGTCCCGGTCCTGCCAAGACAATGACAGCGCTCAGCGTCAATGAGGGGGTTTCCCAAGATGAGCAGAATTCCATGAGCAGAGGATCTCACTCGTGGGCTTCTTCTGTCATTACAGACATGAAAATATTTTGGCAGAGCAACATGGGAACTTCTTTAACTTCTCTGAAAGAGCGGTGTGGCAGTGGCACAGGCTGCCCAGGGAGGTGTTGCAGTCATCATCCCTGAAGGTAATCAAGAAGTGTGGAGATGTGGCACTGAGGGTCAGTGGGCAGGGTGGGGGGGGGCTGGTGATTGGACCTGATGATCTTTGAAGTCTTTTCCAACCTTAATGATTCTATGATTCTATGGGAACTGCTGAAGCCCAGGGAATAGTGGAGGCTCAGGGTCCCACCTGCTGAGAAAAAGCATCGCTCGCATCCTGGCCCAAGCCCCGTGCTGCTGCTGCTGCTATTATTACCCTCACAATGGCATTGTGGCCTGAGAGCAAACATGGATTTCTTTCCAAGGAAGGGGTTAATTTTGTGTTTCCTGGCTTTTGTTAAGAAAGGAAATCAAACCCTTAAGAAAGTCACTCAGGTCAGGCTGAACTCCTAAAAGCCTCTTTGGTCCTGGTTTGTATTTTCCTTTCTTTCATTCTTATGGCAGGTTTATTTAAGAAAAGAAAACAAAAATAGAGTAAAGCAAGGAAATAGCTAGTCCAGGGTTATAAGTGATTAAGTACACACTGCCACATGTGATTAATTTTCTTCCTGATTTGTGCTAGGTGTAAACAAGAGCAGACTCGAAAGTCTCATGATTTAATAAGTCCATTCACGAGTGGTAGCCATTGCTGTGCACTCTCATGGAGACAGATTCCCCTTTGCAGAGTCCACAGCTGAACACCTCCTGTGCTGATACACAGCAGCATGGGTACCTGGGGTGTCTGTCCCACAGTACGTATGGTGTCAGGACAAGGCTGCTTGGTTGGCAGCACAACCAGAAGGTGGCTGCCACTGAGAGCACCATGCTTTGCTGTGCAGGTGTCAGATATGGCAGCTGCTTTAAACATGCAAGTACTAAGGTTGCTAAATGGGAAAAAAATCTCATTCTTTTAGTGCTCTTTTCTATATGGGATAATGAGAAGAGCTTTGGACTATGAGAGAAAGCAGCACAGGGATACCTGCATCTGTGAGCTATGGCTGCTTTGCACAAGAAGGCACTGCTGGCACTGCACCATTAAGTGACCCCTTTCCAGTAAGGCATCGAATGCCCTCTTCAGCCCGTGCTCCCACTTGTGGAACACAGAGCTGTGGGTTCACTGGAGGACCTCAGCATCCCAATGGGATCCCCTGGGACAAGACACTGCTCCTGACCCCACGGATGAGCTGTCCTTGCAGGGTGACACCTGACATTGAGAACATTTTCTGTAGGAAAAGATGATGAATAAAGGCCTGTCTTATGGACATCTGCTGCACTGCTTCCTCCTGGAAAAAGCTGGCAAGCAGTCGATCGCTGGTAATTCCTCCTGTTCTGTTCCTTGGAGGAATCTGGGTGGCTGTTTGAGGTCAGTGGAACCTGGCCACGCACTGTCACAGTGGTATCACATCTTTGGGAAGGTTTGCCTTGGAGCACATCACAGGGACACACACAGGTCCTCCCACGTCCCCATGCTGTGGAGGGACATGTGTCACCCATCTGGCTGCTGGGGTCTCACCACTCACACCCAGCAATGGGTCACCGTGTCCCAGTAACCGAGCAGTGATTGTGTGGTCAGGCAAAGTCATTTCCCAGCACTGAAGCCATATGGATGTTGGAAACAATCTGTTTCCAACCTGCTGTTAAAAGAACAACAATAAATAAATAGAACAAAAAGCACAATCCAGTGTTTATTTTTAAAGAATGCGTTGAAAAAACAGATTTGCTTCGAGACTGCTGTTCTGGCAAATAACACCCCGACGTTGCTCAGCAGAGCAGAGACATCTCTTCAGTAAGCGGCTGCCTGGGGCTGGTGCCCACTCACCCGCATCCTTCCCTGTGTCCCTTCCTCCTGACACCCGTGGGGAGCCTGGAAAGCCCTGCAGCACTCAACCCGATCAGGAGCCGGGCTGGTTTTAGGTTGGGACTGTTGAAGATTGGTGGAAACTGATGGAGAAGCAACTGGAAAATTTGAGAAGGCTGAGAACCGGCAGGCTGCTTTCTTGGGGCTGGGGAACCACGGGAGTGGTGGGAGAGGATGGCTTCACCCGCGGTGAAGAAAGGAAGTCTTCTGAAAGGAAGCGATGAGAGAAAGCTGCTGAGCGGGGAGATGCGGAACGGTGTGAGGAAGGAGCAAGGCAGGTGGTGCAGGGGAAGAGGAATTGCTGAGAAGGGAGTGGGGGAGAAGGGCTGAAACCAGGGATGCTGCTGGGGCGTGTGGGGCAGGGGAGAAGTGCTGGGGAGGCAGGGGAAGTGAGCACAGAGCTGACGGGAAGCGGTAAGCAAGAAATAGCTGAGTGTTTTGGTGGAAGCTGGGTGCCCACGGGGAAAAGCAAACTTTTGGGAAGTGCAGAAACACTACCAAGGGGGAAAAACAGAGCTCCAACTGCTTCACTGCCGGTTACTGCGCTGCCCTGACTTCTGGGGAACTTGCTGTGCGGAAAATGAACCTCCACAGGTCTACTGCAAGATTTTCCTTACACATGAAACATGAGAACAGCTCTCAAATATGTTTACATTAAGCATATATATGCAAATATACGCACACATGTGCATATGCCGATGTGTAGATGTGTCTGTACGTGTATTTATGTGTATGCACAAACACCAACCTTATCTTTATGTATGTGCTGCAGGAGAACCAGCACCACCGCTCCCACGCCCCCATCCACTCACGGTGCCTCTGCTTGCACACGTATGAATGCACACATATACGTGTGTTTATGTACCCGTGTGTGTGTACGCCCACGGCGTGTGAATGTATGCATGCCTGTAGACAACATGTTAGCTATGTGTATTTACATGTGTATGTTCAGGCATGTGTGAGAGAGTGTGCGTGTAACACGTAACCCTATCTCCGTGTGTATGTGGGCGCACACACACCGTACACACACACACACACACCGCACACACACACCGCACACACACACACACACACACACACACCGCACACACAAACACCGCACACACAGAGCAGCGCGGACCCGCGCCTCTCAGCGCGCGCCGGCGCGCTCCAGCGGCCCCGCGGCAGATGACGTCATGCCGGCTGTGCTGGGCGCGCCCTGTTTGGCGCGCCGCCAAGGTGACGTCTGCTCCGAGGATCACGTGACCCGGCCCCATTGAGAAAACGGCGGCCGCGCGGCGCGCCACTATATAAGGCGGGTTCGGGCGCACGGGGCCGTGCTGAGCCGCGCCGAGCCGCTTTTGAGCCTCGCCGTTCCGCGAGCCGCAGCGCGTTGTTTCCCTGCGATCCGAGCCGAACGGAGCCGAGCGGCGGGGCCATGGTGAACCTGCGGGTGTGCGCGCTGGAGTGCGAGGCGCTGCGGGGGCTGCTGCAGGAGCGTGCCGCGCAGTGCCTCGTCCTCGACTGCCGCTCCTTCTTCTCCTTCAACGCCGCGCACATCCGCGGCTCCTGCAACGTGCGCCTCAGCACTATCGTCCGCCGCCGCGCTAAAGGCGTGCTGGCCCTGGAGCACGTCGTCCCCAACGAGGAACTCCGCACCCGGCTGCGCCAGGGGCAAGTCCACACCGTGGTGCTGCTGGACGAACGCAGCGCCGACCTGGAGCTGCCCAAGCGCGACAGCACGCTGCTGCTGGCCCTCGGCACGCTGTGCAGAGAGGCCCGGGGAGCCCGCATCTGCTTCCTCAAGGGTGAGTGCGCGGCCCCGGGAGCCGCCGCGGGACGCAGCCGACCTCGCCGCCGGCCGAGGGCTCAGCCCGCCCCGCCCCGCGCCGCGCTCACCGCGCGCCTCTCTCCCCTCTGCCCCGCAGGAGGTTACGAAGCGTTCTCGGCCGCCTGCTCCGAGCTGTGCACCAAACCCGCCGCCCCTACCGGTCTCAGCCTGCCCCTGAGCGCCAGCAGCGCGCCCGGCAGCGCCGACTCGGGGTGCAGCTCCTGCGGTACCCCCCTGTACGACCAGGTGAGTGCGGGCTCCGGGCTGGCGCTGCCCCGCCGCTCGCGGGCGAAAGGACGGGAGTCGTAAATCCGCCGAGCGATGTTAACGTCTGCCCCTCTTGTTTCAGGGCGGGCCGGTGGAGATCCTGCCGTTCCTGTACCTGGGCAGCGCGTACCACGCCTCCCGCAAGGACATGCTGGACGCGCTGGGCATCACGGCGCTGATCAACGTGTCGGCCAACTGCCCCAACCACTTCGAGGGGCACTACCAGTACAAAAGCATCCCGGTGGAGGACAACCACAAAGCGGATATCAGTTCCTGGTTTAACGAGGCGATTGATTTCATAGGTAAATGAGCTCTCCCTGCAATCCTTTTGTCTCGCATGACGTCCCCCGAGGGTGATTTCTAGGGCATTGTTCTTTCCAGCACAGCCTGCGTTTGGGATCGGGGAACCATTGTTGCACGTTTAGATGTTCTCAGGGGATGCACACATCACTTTCTCTAGGCTGAGAGAGGGCTAATCGTGGCTTTACCAAACCGTTAGAAATCTTGAATCAAGAGAAATGGGTCCTCTAGAAAATTGCTAGTGAATTTAAGCGGATCAGTATTAAAGTAATCTTGCAAGACTGCTAAAGTGACCCGGAGGAGCTATTAGGATAATTGGAATTGGAGCCCAGAATGAGAATAGCTAGACTGCTGCTTCCCTCAGGACAAAGGCTCTTTGTCTCCTAAGCACGGGACTCACCTATTGGGCTCCTAAGGAGGGGATGAAACAAAGAGATGAGAAGCAGCAGCCTTTGCTTTCCCACCTCCGGAGGCAGTGAGACTTGTTTGTTAACAGGGTGCTTTAATTCTTTCAGATTCTGTTAAAAATGATGGAGGAAGGGTATTTGTGCACTGCCAGGCTGGCATTTCCCGGTCGGCGACCATCTGCCTCGCTTATCTCATGAGGACCAACAGAGTCAAGCTGGATGAAGCCTTTGAGTTTGTGAAGCAGAGAAGGAGCATCATCTCCCCGAACTTCAGTTTCATGGGGCAGCTGCTGCAGTTTGAGTCGCAGGTCCTTGCCCCCAACTGCTCAGCAGAAGCTGGGAGCCCTGCTATGTCAGTATTGGACAGAGGAGCATCGACCACCACAGTCTTCAACTTCCCAGTCTCCATCCCTGTTCACACCTCATCCAGTGCTTTAAGCTACCTTCAGAGCCCCATCACCACCTCCCCGAGCTGCTGAAAGGCAGGCAGAAGCATGGCCAGAACTCAGAATTCTTGTCTCAGAAGTGCAATAACTATGGGGACAGTATCATCAGCCACTTGTCCTGTGGGGAACCATCCACGTGTCCTAGAATGCTGTTGTACACAGAGGAGCTCACCAATATTCTGCGTGTTGCTGACTCCTGAAGACAATATTGGGGATGCCTACGGAGAGATCAGAGGATGCTGCGTCTTCCTGAGCTCTTTCCCTTTTCTTCTGTTTGTCCTAAGCCTGCTGCATGTTCAGTAGTGTGCTCACCAGTATTCCCATTCCTGGACACTTAAGCAACACTGATGTTGTCCCCTTTCATGGCAGTCCTATTTATTTATTTTTGTTAGTGCATTGTTTTGCCTTCATGAACCTGAAGTTGCATTTCTAGAGAAACCAAATACCTCAGTATTTTTTTGGTACTGTAATCCTGTGTGTATATATCTGTCAGCTTTTCTTGTTTCCAAGCACTGACATGAAAGCACCGGATGAGTGCTTCTTGAGTTGCCAAGGGTTGTATGTTTGATTTATTTATGATGTGAAATAATATATTTCTTCTTAGGAAGACATAGTTTTGTTACATGATTATAACTTTTTATACAAACAGAATAAATTATGATATTTCTAGTGAAAGCTGGATATACTTTAGAATCTTGGTGTGTTTTACTGTCCCTGAGCTTTCCTTTAGAAGCTTCCAGAGGAAAGAAGTCTGAATTTCTGATGGAGTTTGACCTTGGGCAATGCAATTAAGTTGGGTCTTAACTAGATAGAAAAATGAGTTTTAAAATCCTCGAACTTGACTAGAAAGTTCTGCTGCTCCCTAACCTGAGCCCTTTGTCCTGCCATAATTACATGCCATGGCAGACAGCCAGGGCCAGATCTCAGCTGTAGGGTGGCTTTGGCTGTGGTCATGGCTGCAGAGCTGTAAGAGTTGGAACCAGCTGAGCATGGGGGGTTTAAAAGTAAAAGAGTTCTCTCCCAGGAAGGAAGAAGCTTCCTTATTGCTTGTTTGCTTTGAATGCTTTGGAGGTTAAGTCTAAAAATTAACCTGTTGCTAACTGATCTCCAGCATGTATGAGGTTGTGCCAGAGTGTTTTCTTTTTCTGTCTTGTCTCTTAATTCCTTTTTGCAACCCAAACTGCCTCTCTTCCCTACAGTGAGTTATTTGGCTTACTGTACTATCTGTAAATAAACCAGAGCATAACAACAGATCAGGTAACTCACAGTCACCTAATTTTGTACCCAGGCTGTAATAAACTCTCTCACTGCAGCTTCCCACTGGGTTGACTTTCACCCAGTGCTTAAGTTAAGGCAATGTGAGGAGTTGTATCCAGCATAACCAAAGCCAGGTGAGCACTGCTGGCAGCAGCTGTGGGGTCACAGCCAGTGGTGCAGGGCTGCTGCTGTTACTTGGGTGTGACATTGCTGTGAGAGGGAGAGCAGTGCTGCTGTGACGTGTCTTACCAGGGAAAGCTGGGCAGCTGGAGGCCTGCTTTCTTAGCTTGTGGTGATGGCAGTGCCAGCTGCTTGTATGTAGGAGAGCTCTGGGAGGCTGGGTGCTCTGTCTCTGTCCAGGGGAGCACCGATTCCCCCATCTCTGAAATTGAAGGAGTTAATGCTACGCTTGCCCCATCAGAAATGGATTTGCTGAGGCGAACAACAGAGGGTTACAATTCTTGTGTAAAATCAAGGCAGCTTATTATTTACAATCCAAAGTCCAAGCGTATAGGTGGGGGTTGCTAAGTGTGAGGCAGCTGCAGTCTCATCATATAACTGCGGACGCCCTGAGCGCAACTCCTGCTGAATCCCTGCACGTTACCTGGAACACTGACAGTGCTAAATCCACCAGCCTTCTTGCAGGAGAAGGTGCCCTTGAAGGCCGGGCTGCTGCGAGGCACTGCTGTGTTGAAGCGCAGCCACATACGCAGCTCTGTCGTCAGCAGCCGCTGGCAGCCGGCAAGCTCCAGCCTGACGCTGAGGATGGAGCACACGGAGCAGCCGGAGGGGAGCAAGGAATGCTGCCCAGGCACCCAGAGCTGAAGATAAGAAAGTCATCTTTCTGCAGCGTGAAGAACCTCAAAGTGCATTGTCCTCCCAGATCTCTCCCACCCTGCAAAGCCCTTTCCTCCCCCTGTGGAGATCCTCTGCTAGGTTGAGCTGCTCCACGGGACTGCGATCCCAGTAAGGTGCACAAGGCTGTTTCTGAAAATGTGAGCTTTTCTGCACCTGTGGAACAAGCTTTCACCTTCAAAGCAAAGCAGGGCTTGTTCAGTGGAAAAATACAACCTTGGCAGCCCTGGCCACACAACTGATAAAAAGTCCTGCCTGTTAATCACAGTTCAAACAGAAATCCGCTCCCCGTCAGCTGGGGGAGCTTGTTTATGTGTTTCTTGGAACAATAAAACTCATTACCTGGCAGCCGATCAGCTTTTATAACCTAAGCAGGCACCTGATGGGGGCAGAGCTGTGGCAGCACAAAGCGCAGCCCTGTACCAGCTGGAGGCACGGCCCCCCAGCTTGGTGCAACATTCCTGGGCTGTGCAGTGACCTCCTGCTGCCCCCCCAACGCTGCAGTGCCCCCGATTCCTGCAGGCTGTTTGTGGATGGGACCGTGGTTGGAGCCCGAGCTGCTCTCTGTCTGCTCAGATGAAGGATAAGGGGGGAACAGCAGGCAGAAGCAGGAGCTCTGCACTGGTGCCACAGCACTGGGGGAGATGGATGGATGGACGGGCGGATGGATGCAGCTGAGCTGAACTCCCTGTGAATGTGCTGGAGGGATCTTTTCCCTCTTCTTTCCCTCTTTCATTCACTCTGTGTGGCCTTTTCAGCTTGGATCTCCCATTTCCCTGGCTCTCTGCATGTCAGTAGTACTCAGCTGAGCTCCTGCCCTTCTCTCCAGCCTGAGACCTCCAAAAACTGAGCATTCAGCAAGAGTGTGTAGAGTTTTAGCTCATTTAAACCTGTCATTATACAGTTGCTTATGTCCCCATGGAAACCACGAGGAGTTTCCCTTCTCTGGGGACAGCACTAACATCACTTCCTGCTGCTGACAAACCAATTTGTCACAAAGTGATAGAAAGGCACGCTCCGTAGTTGCAGGAACTGGCTCTAGGCTTTGTTCCTCCCAAGCCAGAGCTGTTGGCTGTCCCTGAAGGCAAGCAGCAGCCAGCAGGCACAGACAGAGCATCCGTGTCAGGGCAGCACACAGAGCAGCAAGGACAGCCCCACACAGCTGTCCCACACACCATCTCCCACCAGCACAGACCCACAGATGATCCCAATGACCCAGAGGTAGCGCAGGACCTCCATGGGAACACAGCACGTAACAGCCCCAGTAAAAGGCAGTAACAGGGGATGCGGAGTGCACGGTTATCTCATGACAAACAGACAGAGCTCCAGATTAGAGTGCTGGGGTAATCCCCTTGTCTCAGGGCTTTTGCCTTTCTGTTGTAATCAGCACTGTGAAAGGCGCTGGGTGTGCTGAAGCTTAGGGACTATCCTGCATTAGTCACCCTGGTATCAGAGCAGCAGGGCCGCAAGGCTATGTTATGCATTTAGGTTGAAAAAGAACATTACATCCTGATCTCCGTGAGCAAATCTAGTTTGCCCGCTTAGCACCTGGTTTTTTTTACTGTCTGGCTCCAGGGCAGCAGAAAGGACGCTGCGAGTCATTTGGAAATTGCATCTCAGTGCAATCCTGGCTTCCCCAAATCCACTCCAATCCAAGGCTGGAGAGAGGTCAGGGAAACAGTTAAAGCCTGGGCTCAAACTCACTCACGCTGAAAGAACAAACGATCTGAGCTCTGTGCTGCATGCAGACACGTGTGACCTCCCCTCTACGTGCTCTTTGCTATGTGCAGAGCACAGCCAAGGGCAGGTGGGCACAGTTAGCACCCATCAGGGGTAAGTGTGAGCAAGGTATTAAGGGAGGCAAAGCCCATGCAGAGAGAGAGAGGTAGGGCCTGGTGCTCTGCTGAGTTATGTGGCATTGCTGTAAGGCTGTCAGCCTGGCCAGGGAGCGCCAGGGGACCCGGTTCAGTTCCCTGTCCTGCTCTTGCTCAGGCTGAGGCCATACAACACTGGGGGCAACACCTGTGGGACAGCCCTCGTACCCAGGAGGAGGGGGCATGGTTACTCTGCCACTGGGCTGGGTGAAGAATTCCAGTTCTGAGAGCTATTCCCCATGGTGGCATTGTGGTTCCCAGGGTTTCCAGCTACCACGGAGCTGAGCATCCCACCTGCGGGGCTGTGTGTGCCTCCAGCTCCGTGGGCACCCACAGCACAGCCGGGACACGGCGCAGCCCATGGGATGAGGCCAAGCCCAGGACGCTGCCGGGCCGGGGGTTTCCTGCACGGCACGCTCAAGGTCCTGCGTTTGCGTGTTTCCTGTGCGAGGCAGAAATGAGTCGCTTTGGGCTTCCCCTCCCTGGCGCTGCTGGGAGGCAGATGAGTGGGTGCGATGAGACAGCCGGCACAGCCCGCAGGTGACTTCCAGCTCCCTTTCCACCATTGTCGGCCTGCTGAGGGGCGGCCCTGCCCTCTGTACGGTGCTGGAGTCGGGAGGGCTGAGGGCATTCAGCAGAGAGAGCCAGAAGAGGGGATGCTCGTGTGGAAATGGGGACAGAGCGCAGCTACTGAGCACCCATGTTAACATCCCTGTTGCGTTTCCCTGGCTGACCCAGGGCTTGCTGTGTGCTCTGGGTGGATGAGTGAGGTCTGTGGGAACGGCCACTTCATCAGCTGGTTTGTTCCAAAATCCATGCAGGGACTATCCCAAGTGCCACAGAAAACACTTCATTTCTCAAAAACTGGTTGTGTGTGACACCAGTCCCCCTCATTTCAGTACCTTTTGGTTCCCAAACTGTGGGGCATACTTAAAAATAAAGTCCCTGAGGGCTCTGATGTGATGTAGTCACTGTCTAACTTGGTAACCACTTGTCTACAAATAAGGATATTTGAAAAGTAGCATATATATGCGTGTGTCTTTCCTAGAGCCAAATATAAGTCTCACTTGTACAAAAAGAAAATTAACTACAGTATGATTTAGAGTTCTAACTTCTGATATTAATTCATTTTGTTTTGAACTGTGTTTCTTTTCTTCCACCAGCACTTGTGGTGGATGTAGCTGAAATAACAATTTTGGGTCTTTGATATACTGGAAAGAGGGAATTTCTTTTCAGTGTCTTCTTGTTGAAGGATTACCTCTGGTAAATGTGTTTCTGCATCAGTATCTTGTTCATGTAAATCTTGCTAGGGGTTTATTAACCCGCCATGGGTCAAGTGCCATGTGGCTCTGATGGCAGGTTGCTCTAATTCAGGGAGGATATACACTGCAGATGTTCATTAACTAATTGATTAACTTGCAGACCAAGTAGAAGTTTCTTTATTGCTTTTTGCAATGAAATCTTAATGATTGCAGGCATTTTTTCAGGGGCTTCTGCACGATGAATGTTTTAGAACTGCACCTGCCATTTACTGTATGTATTGCGTGTGCACACAGGATTAAAAACCACCTATACGTATAAAATGTCCACCAGCAAGGTGAAAACTTTTCTGCTTCTTACTGAGTGCCCATCTCTCACATCCATTGCCCAGGCTGTGGGGTCACTCTGCCTATAAACAAGTGGCAGGTTGTGTTTTTTTACTGGGTGAATACTGGCTTAAATGTTTCGTTAGAGGATGATTTCTTCTTGCTTGCTGTCAGAACAAGAAGTCAGTAGTCCTACACGCGTGTTGGCTGTGACAGCAGCAGTTGCGAACTCTGTCTGTGTCTGAGCACATGTGGAATTTCCCTCTGCGTCGCCGCGCTCTGCTCTGCTGTTGCAAGAGATAGGAGCTTGCAGCCAGCAGTCACAGTGTGAGGGGATGCCGGGCTGAGTGGGGTCAGACAGCCACACCTGTGTGTCCGCTGCTTATTCTGTGGTCTGCTCCGGGCAGAGTGCTGATGAGCTCTGCTGTGATGGGTGCAGGCAGAGCGGGGTGCTCAGAGCTGAGCGTGGCTAATGGTGGGACTGCTGCTGCGGCAGCCAAGGGCTGGGAGCTGCGGGATGTCCTGCCTGAGCCTCGCAAGGAGCCAGCTGTGCAGCACACTGCTCGGCCCCAAACAATAGCTCCCACCCTTTCCTACCAACTGGGAGGAACAAAAAGAACAAAACTGTTTGCAAGGAGGAAAAAAACACCCTGTCGCTCCCAGTCTTTTGCTCTTCTGTCTCCCTTCTTCCTCCCCGCAGGATATCTGCCAGCAGACAGCACTGAGCACAGCCCAGGTTTCAGCGCCTTCCCTCGCCCTTTTCTTGTCCACCAGCACCAAAGGAGATGGCCTTTAGAACTGCCTTTTGTTCCTCTGTGTACAGCTTCTCTCCCAAGCTCTGGGGCCGGCTGACGTCAGGGCTCTCCATTTGGGCTCAACGGCTGCTATCTGCAGCTGATGCCTTCCAGGAGCGGCAGGAACACG